ACCAGATGCCCCCCCCCCCCCCTCTTCCTTTTTTCCTTTTTCTTCACATCTGTGGTTATTTTAACAAGTCTTCACTGAGCAAAGACTGCCTATCCGGCCAGGAGCTAGACACCACAGGAGAAATTTATTCATTCAACAAACACACACCGTTCCAGACAGGGATCTGGGCCTGAAACAGAACCAATCAATTCCTGACCAGAAGACCCAAAGAGTGAAAACAACCCACAAAATGTGCCGTATCTGTACAAACAACATAAAAAAAAAAGAATGAAAAATGCTACATACAACATAAATGAACCTTGAAAACATTATGTGAAAAACAATCACACAAAAACACACACACTGTATGATTCCATTCAGATGACATGTCCAGAATAGGCAAATCCACAGATAGAAAACAGACCAGTGGTTGTGGAAGGCTGGGGGAGTGGTTGCTAATGGATACAGGGTTTTGGGGAAAGTGATGAAATTTTTCTAAAATTCACTGTAGTGATGGCTGTACGACTCTGAATGTACTGAAAACCACTGAACTCTATACAAGTGGGCAAATTATTAGTATGTGAATTATACCTCAATAAAGCTGATAGTTTTTTAAAATCTCCACCCTGATGAATTGGGAGAAGAGGAGGAACCAGAACAAACAAAATATTTAAGTAACCACATATAACAAATATCAGCAGTCTGGGGGGAAAGAAAGCAGGGAGGCAGGACAAGGATGGCTTCTGAAATGTTTACAGATGCAGACAGGTGGCCGCACTCGGGGATGAAGACCTGAAGGGCCCAGAGGAGCCAGCAGGCGGCTACCAGGGGGAAGCGTGTTCCGGGCAGCAGCTCCAGGGAATGCTAGGCCCGTGGTCGGCAAACTGCGGCTCGCGAGCCAAATGTGGCTGTTTGGCCCCTTGAGTGTGGCTCTTCCCAAGCCTTAGGAGTACCCTAACTAAGTTAATAACAATGTACCTACCTATATAGTTTAAGTTTAAAAAATTTGGCTCTCAAAAGAAATGTCAATCGTTGTACTGTTGATATTTGGCTGTTGACTAATGAGTTTGCTGACCACTGTGCTAGGCTCACAGTGCCTGGCAAGCAAAAGTCCAGCTGAAAGCGATAAACTCTAAGTGTCACTGAGAACGGGAAGCCCCCAGCACAGTGGTTCTCAATTTAAAAAGATTCCCAGGTGATTCCAATGTGCAGCCCAGGTTGAGAACCACTGCCCCAGCATGACGCACAAGGAGCTCCAGGTGTGGTGAGGTTGTGTCTGCAGCTACCTACACCAATTCGGGGTCCAGTCCGTGCAGGGCCCACAGCAGTTCTAAAAATATGTGTTGGATGATGAAGGATGCCTCAACGAGTCTGCCCCGAGTCTGCCTCCAGCCCTCCTGGACCCCGAAGCCCCGTACCTTTCCAGCCCAGTTTGATGTTCCACTCGTAGAAGAAAATCAGCTTCCCTTTGCGGCTGCTGCAGGAAGCCTCACCTTCCAGCTGCTTCAGGTCACTGATCTGGCAGCGCCCAGCCTCATTCTCCACCACGATCCCCACCAGGGACTCTCGGAGCTTCCCCTTGGACCAGCTGGTGGCGTCCCGCTCTGTCCTGCCGGGACCAGAAGGGCGGAGCCGTGAGTGGAGGCCCAGGTGTGTCACCTGCCCAGCCCAGATCAGCCTGACTCCTCTCCGGCCTTAAGAGAACTGCAGCCCTTGAACTTACAGCCTCCTCAAGCCAACTTCCTACCAGACAGCCTTTACTCCTCCTGCTCAGTTTCTTAAGTAGCATTAGCCACTATATAAAGTAGGATTTTGTCTTGAAAACGCCAGCTTATTTTGGGGAAAAGAGGGTCTAGCAATCTGACCAGTTGGAAATGGATGGGCAAAGCCTGGACCATATGAAAAGGTGGCAATAATTGAAATAATTCTAATCACAGCAAGAAAAAGTATCAAGTGTGTCCACACCTAATATTTTACCCAATCATCCCAAATGGTGTTCCCATTTTGGGGAGCGGAAATGAGCCCAGAGAAGTCCATGATGTGTCCATGGTGACAGGGCTAGGAAAGGGGAGGGCAGCTCCTCCAAGCCCCAGGCCAGGGCTCCCCAGTAACCCATCCCCTCACAGCCCAGGGCTCCCCAGTAACCCATCCCCTCACAGCCCAGGGCACCCCCAGGGCTCCCCTCTCCCGGGACCTGCCTCAGCATCACCT